TGTAACACCTCAGAATTCTGGGGAGGGCAAAAAGAAACCCTATTTGGAAGAAATTCCTTTATCAAATAGTAGCTACATGAGGATGAAGTAGCAGGAGTCACCAACACACAGGGGGTTTTTTTACACTACTGCCTAAGTTTGGTGGTGGGTACTCACTCCCACACACACCGTGAGTTTATTTCCAGGTTTCAGGGAGCAACTGCTTCTCACAAAACAATATTCTCTTACTCCCTGCACAATTTCAAGGTGGCTGAAGATGTTTTTCTGAGTTCCCCTCAAAGCCTGTCTCTTGCAGGAGAACTTTGCTGCACACTAGGATGTAGCCGCATGGATTTCGCAAGGGACAAGGGGCATTCACGAGCTCTGAAGGGGCTTTGCCCCATGACTGTGGCAGACAGGGCTCAGGCCGATGCTGTCTGGGCCACTGTGTCTCTAACCACAAACATTTTGTTCTGGTGTGCAGGATCAAGATGTGCACTAAAGTGTCCATGGATGACTTCCTGACTGCACACCACGAGATGGGCCACATCGAGTACGACATGGCATACTCTGCACAGCCCTACCTGCTGAGAAGTGGTGCCAATGAGGGATTCCACGAAGCAGTAGGTGAAATTATGTCACTTTCTGCAGCCACTCCTCAGCACTTGAAATCTCTTGATCTCCTGGAGCCAACTTTCCAAGAAGATGAAGGTAAATAAATGCATAAAGATTACATATTTAAGTGAAAACACTTGCAGGCTTTATTTTGTAGCAGAAGATTGTGCCTGAAAACTTGGCAACCATCTGACAGGTTTCTGAAAATCTTACTCCACTGATTTACCAGAAACACTATTTTTCCCCAGATACATTGTGAAGCAAGGATCACTGCTTTACAATGCTGCTACATAATTTAGAAACAAATAGCTAGCACTTCATTACCTTCAGCACTGAACAACTCATCCTCAAATCTTCGTAGTTCATTTAGATGAGCCTCCAACACTCTTTTGTATGAAATTGTACATATCACTATCAAGGTGAGTATGTAGCCATTCAAATGAAACTGAAACATTGAGATTTACATCTCCCACTTAAATGAATGAGTGAAAACATAGGTATGCCCTCATTATAATGCAGTTCATCTGACTTCTCTGAGTATTGCCTTAGAAGGATGGAGATGTACATTTTATGTTTTGAGATGTCTTCAGCTCAAACTTCTCAAGAGCCTGTGAAGGCTCTCAGTGAAGGATAATGAGATGTAAAAGCCAAAGGGCTAGGTTGTTTAAGAGGTAGGACAAAAGAAAGAGAGACAGAACTGTGTATAATACCTAAGAGATCTTATGTCATGGTTTTTTTTAAAGTAATATTCTTCCATCCACTTTTTCTTTAGTGAAAATCTGTAATTTAAACAAGATACAAGCATTAGCTGTAAAAGGAAGCAGCTTTAGCCATCTAATCAGATACTAATTGCTACCATAACCATTATATTAACTGCTTCTCTCTTCAGAAACTGAAATCAACTTTCTGCTCAAACAAGCACTAACGATTGTTGGAACAATGCCTTTTACTTACATGCTGGAAAAGTGGAGATGGATGGTGTTTAGGGGTGAGATCACAAAGCA